AATATAGAGTCCCGTGCAAAATTTGAGGGTTTTGCCCTGTTGAAGCTCAAAACGCGTATGGTTCTTCAATAAAATCTTGTAGATTTTTCAGCGGTTTTTGAGCGCGCGCACATCGTGGGCTCAAATCAAACGTTCAAAAGTATGCAGCCACCTTAAGCTGTAATTACAGGGCGGTATCCAATCCAATATATTAAAAAATCCTTCCTTCTCTCCCCTCTCTTCCCTCACAAACAATCATATTTCTTCGCTAACTCTATTTCCGGTTATTTGATTGACAGCTTGTAAATAACATACTTGAACCGCGCTGTCATTCGACTGTTGATTTGAGGTCAAATAATTTGGTGAAAATGAAAATATTTAACGATTGAGCGCAACGAAGGATCCGGAGTGAAACATTCATATCTTCAAGCCAGCGTGTAACTCGTCGTTCAAGAAGCAGACTGAGAAAGTGTTATTACTAGGACATATTCGAGAGCATATTCTAGTCGATGACATTATTCAAATTGCACGAAAACGTAACTGTCTGGTGATTGTCACAGTTTTCAGCAGGTATGTATAGACTAGAATCATTATTGTGTGGTTCCAAGAAAGCATAAGCCATTGATTTCCTTTATGTCATTTATTTCAAGAAATATGTCGTCTTGACAATTCGACGACGTCTGGCAATGTTTCAGTCGCATAATTAGCAAGCACAACTGCCAGGCCGCTGGAAAACGTGTTTACAGTAGTTTTACAAACGATATATATATAGATATAGATGTAGAAGGTTTAAAAGGAAGTGGTATGGAATTTATTGGCTTGTTATAATTTTTAGTCTTACTTTGCTCGAAACATCGAAATGATTAGATATTAATTACAGGCGCGCATTTACCGCAACTAATCACCTTTACCTTGGGAATCAATATGCATAAGTAGTTATCCATGTGTAAATACGAGTTCAAAAGAAACTGAATCAAGCATTTTGTTTTTATGCACGCAGTAAATTCAAAACCGTTTTGCGACAACCTTTTTCTGAAATAAATTTGTACAAATAATTCAAACCGTAATAACCAAGCAAAATTGCTAAAAATATATTTATCAGCTCAAGTGCCATTTTTTTCATGATTAAGCAGACCGTTAAAACTAACAGTTGTACCGCGCTAAAACGGTCCAGTCAGTTTGGTTCACAAGGTCAGTTATTGTTTTTCAACTTTAGTAGCAGGGCAAAATGACACAATAACTTAAAATCGAGCAGAATAACAGGAAATCAAGGTAACTTAAAAATATTCACTATTTGAATTGCATGCATTCTCGAAAAAAAAACACAATTATTTATTATCCTATCGCCCGCGATCAGCTTAAGGTTTAAGCACCTATTGTCTGAAAAATATTCAATCAAAAATGTTTAACGGATATTTACGCAGACCATGCCGCCACCGCAAACCACTTTGTTCTTGTAAGAGCTTATTTATGTCCTATAACACTTGGCCCTGTTTTGATAATCTTATGCAAAGGTATTTCTTTAGAGGCAAAGTTATGTGCTTGAACACTTTTCAATGTTTGCTATAAGTAGTTTGCTTCCTGGCATCTTCTGCAAAGCTGCAACGAAGGCGTCCTTTGCCTTTTGCTTCTCTCCTGCTTGAAAATGGCTATAGCCGAGAAGTTTATATCCATTGACGTCTTCACACAGCTCACACACCTTTTGATATTCTTCGAAAACGCTCTTTAGTTTCGTTATTTCATCTTCTTGCACTAAACATTTTATCAGGAAATAAAACACAAAGATAAGCGACGGCGCTTCTATTTTCATATGTGTCGTTATTTCTAACTGTAAATCTGAATCAAGACATATTTGTTCACTGTATCCAAATTCTGTTACATCACTTTGGATTTCTTCCTTTGTATCTTTATCCGCTTCGTCTACCACGGTTTCAAGAATTCGCATGACTTCCTTGTATCTTTTTTGTGTCATAAGAATGGTAGCATGCGTGACATGAATTCCGCAAGAACTTAAACCCTGGGCTCCGATTTCTTCCTGTATAATTTGCTCTGCCTTCTGTAGATATTCATTTCTCTCGGGCGATTCATCTGGATAGGTGTGTGAAGCTGCATGGTACGCACAAGGCAGATTTTCATAGAAATGCTTACACGCTGGATGTTGGTCGGCCATTCCGAGGAGTTCTTGAATCAAAAGGAGAAAAAGCCGCCCATCTTGGATTGCAATTGACGCTTCGTTTAGATAGTGAATGAGAGGCATCGGACCAAGGTATCTGTTTATCATCGGATAAGAATCCATTAAAATCTGAACAGCATCTTTTGGTTTGCCTTGGTTTAAGAGAAGCAAACTCATTCTGAACGACGTTGTGAAAAACGCATCGAATGCGGATTTTCTAATGTCTCTGTGCACTTTGAACTTTTTCATGTCTTCCAAGACGTACGCAATATTTGTACGAAATACAAATGGAATCTCAATATTGCTAATAGCATTTGTGTCTGTAAAATTCAAAATTGGTGTTATAGGATCTTTCCTTATTTCAAGGAGTCTTGCTTCCACTTCTTGCCATTTTTCGTCTGGTACGTGATCCACAAGATTATTCTTTGGTATGAAAAAACTTGGGATGTTTCTCTGTTTAACACAACTTATCAAACTATCAATCAAGTATAGCAAGCACTGTCCAATATGGGCCTCCCAGTAAGACTTTGGAATAGCCTCACATGCATAGAAGAAGACTGTCTTCAAACAGTACGAGGAAAGCACATCCAAATCTTTCAAACAAAGGTTGCGGAGTATTTTGAAGTAGATATAACACTGCCGTTGAGCATCAGTTACAGCACTTTTTGCTATTCGTTTTTCTGTAGTTGCAAAAGAAATTCTCCATTCTACATCTGGATTAAGGCTTTGCTTGTGCGCAACTGGCACGACATGACATCCTWCTGTAACAATGGCTTCCACCAAGTCATTTTCAAGCCATTCGCCTTGTTTCGCTCTTTCCACCCATTCAATTGCCTCCGAGGGCCATTCGTTAACTTGAACAGCGAGAACCATGTCAAGGTCAATCCTAAGACCATAGGTTTGTATATTTTCAGCATTTAAGATGGTCGAGTACTCTACCGACACTGCTGGACCATGAATCAATATAGATTTTATGTCGTCTTCAGGGCCACTGCTGACGACTTTCTTGTGCATTCTATTCTGAATCCTCTGCCCGCTCAGGTACTTTTTATCATTCAGAGTAATGACATCTCTGAGGTCCTCGGTGCACTTGTGTAAACACACTCTGGTGTAACCTGGGTGAACGTCTCCAGATTCCAATGTCGCTTGGATATTTGAACCCTGGATTGGATCTGAGGTGGATATCTRGAACTCCTTCTCGACAAACAAGATATCTGCGTCTGCATGGGTGCCAAGTTGTGAATTGAATTCGATTGACATGGAATGTGGAATATTGAGCCCCTCTGTTGAACTGCCCACCGGTACAGCATTTGTTATATGTTTCTCCTTACAATATGATTTAAGCTGTGATTCGAGGTTGATGTCTCGATCTAAAGTTACCAGTCGTTTAGGCAGTAAAATGCTGATCAAGTAAGACAAATGGTGAGGGGAGAGGCTGGCTTTTCCGTCCCATTCTTCTACCATAAACGGCACTGCAGATAACAAGTATAGAAAATTGAGTTTAAAGTTGGGGTTCARATGGAGAAAGAGATAAATAAAGATGCAATAGTTTGATCTGTATGTTAATCTTAGGCTAATGTCAAACGCGAATGTCAC